AGAATACTGGAGTGGGCTGCCATTTCCTTTTCCAGTGCATGAAAGTTAAAAGTAAAAGTGAAGTCGCTCAGTCGTGTCCCGTGTCCGACTCTTCGCGACCTCATGGACTGCAGCCTACCAGGCTCCTCTGTCCATGGGATTTTCTAGGCAAGAGTACTGGAGTGGGGTGCCATTGCCTTCTCTGATACCCAGGGGAACCTAGTGTTTTTTCAGCAAAGGTTGGATCAAAAATACTGAGGACGGTCGCTAGATGTCCCTCTTGTGTCTCTAAAGAGGCTGAAGAGGCGGGGCTCACTTCAGGATTGAAGTAAAGGGAACCTAAGACTGAGAGAACTTTCTTTTTGTTTTCATTATCTACACCCAGAACTGTTTTTATTCAGTTAGTAAATTCCTGATCGTGAAGGTGTTTTTGGCTACTCACTTAGTAGCATTGTTGGAGTACGATGATCAAGTGTGTTTATTAGCAAAAATTGTTGGAGTGTAATGATAACGTGCGTCTATTAGCAAAAAATACATTCTGAGAGCAAACGGTGGCTGTGGCATTACGGTTATCTGTAGAAGTAGACTAGGGGCATGGAAGAACTATTTTTTGGAGGGGAGGTGTCACTATCACTTTGAGCTTGCGGGTGATGAGAAGGAAGGAAAGCAGAGGTACACGCCCCAGACTCCCTTGGCACCTGGTTTTCATAAAAGCGGTTTAGTATAGCTGGGAGTACTTCGGTTGCTCGACTTGGAAAGGCGGGGAGCATTGAGTGTGAACAGTGAGCAGGACCCAGGGATCCCCGTGCGATCTCCATAGCAAAGCGAGTGCATTTGTCTTTGCAAATACAGAACATGTCTTCATAATGTGGTTGCAATTACAAAGGTAATGACATTGTACATGGATTGAATTCTCTTATTTATCTTTTAAAGACAGCAGACTATAAACATTCTATTAGCATTCCCCAAGGTAAGAGGTCCTCAGCCCTCTTGTGTGCATCTTTCAGATGCCACGGCAATGATAATCATTTTACCTGAGTAATTCTTCCATTTCTTGTTACCTGGGGGATTGTTAATGGCCGAGACCACTTCTCAGACTCTTTGCTCCCGCTCAGTCAAGCCGGGGAGGCGCCAGTTTACTTTTATTGATCAGTGGGTTCCTGACAGCCTTCACCACAAGGAAGCAGCATCATCCTTTTTTAACTTAAAGGAGAACAGATCGCCTTAAAGTTTACAGCTAAAGCTTCTAAGCATTGCATGCAAACATTTTAGCATGCTGCTAATTGTTCTGTTTAAATAGTCCAAGCAATATTTTAGAATGTTATCAAATGCCAAACTCATATCCCATGATCAGATAGCAACCCATTTCAAATGCCTTTTTAGGCCGTTTTAATTAGACCGAGATGCACTTCATTCCCACTCGCTGACATCAAAGGTAAATAACTGTGGTAAATCAAATGGAGCCCTTCTTTGCTGAGCCTGTGAGGTGCGTCTGCGTTGCCTGCCATGTTGTCGCTCTCCTCCGGCAGGGTCTGCGGAAAAGCAGGCGGGCCACGCGGCTCCCTCGAGTCACAACTCTGTTGTTCACCTGCACCTCTAAATGACCAAATTAAATGATACTCATTGCAGATTCTTCGATTTTCTCCTAGATGTTTTGGGCTGAATTGCATCCTAATGTGAGAGAGTGAAACGACCCCCACGCGGAAAGCAGATCAAGCTCTTTGAGCCCTCCCCTTGGTCTCAGATGTACTTTGGGGCGGGGGAGGGGGGTCTCAACCTCAATCCCAGAATAATTCTTTTCTGAGGGAGAAAGCTGTCTTCTTCTTCCTCCTGCTAAAGTAAAGGCCGCTAAACTAGCTCCTCTTGGAAAGAGAAATATTTTTTAAAAGCAACTAGGCTGTTCTCTGCAAAAACATGGCAGTTTTGAGAAAACCTATTATGTGTTCAAATGCCTTTTCCCCTTGTTTAATGTTTTTTAAAGGACAAAAGTGAGTCTCATTTTAAGCACACAGGCTCGGGCCAGTGTCTCTGGGTTAATTATGAATTTGCTCACCCAAGACTCCCAAATAGCCAAGACGATTCACTCAGAAGGGAGATGCACTCTTTCAAGAATTGTGAATTTAGAAGCCAGTCCCCCTCCACCCCCAATCTATGATGAAAAAAAACAAAACATCCCAACTTGTTCAGAGAAGTACTTTTGATTCTTCCAGCCCGTGACCTTAATTAAGAGATTCAGGACGGGGCAGGGAGGAGTCCCCCTCTGTCCCCAGGGCGCCTTCAGTCCAGAAGGAAAGCTGAGTTTGATACCAATCTCGGCCATGCCGGCCTCCCGCTTCTCAGCACCGCCGCACGCCAGCTACCGTCGCCACCACCGCCAGAGAGAAGCTGGCAGCCCCCTGGGACTGAGGCCTTGCAGGAAAGCTGGGGCGCCCCGCACATCGGCGCCGGCTCCAGCTGCCGGCGACCAACGTAGACTGCGCACCAGCTCCGTAGCTCCCCGCTGGGCTCGCGGCTCTCCTAGCTTTGCACGGTGCAGCGGCGTCCGCCCACCCGCTCTTCTCAAACGTACAGTTTATTTATAGGGAGCTAAATTCTCCAATGGGGTTGGGTGAGGGGCAGCGAAATGTGTCCAGCCCTCTGGGTGGCTCAGTCCCTGCGCCACAGATCCCATTTGATTAACAGACAACAGACAAGAGCGAACCGAACCCGATCAGGGACCCTGCTTGGGCCGGGGGTGGGGGCTCGCAGGTCTGCTCGGGAAGGAGGGATGGGGGTGACGGTCCGGGAGGATGGCTGCCGCGGCTGTTAGCTGAAGAGTCACTGGCCAAGAGCCGGGTGAATGACCACGTCTGGGTCGCTTTCTCCTTCCCTTTCTTCCTTCCACTACCCGAGAAGAAGAAAGAGAAACTGACAGACAAACCTAGGGCGAAGAGACAAAGAGGGCGGGAGGAGGGGAGAGAAAGAATATGAATATGAATATTATATTCAAAATATGAAGATATGTGAGGGAGATAAACAAGAGAATCAAATCCTCATCTCTCCTGCAATCTCTACAAACACGAGAGGCGTGCAGTTCCTGGGAAGGCTCAACTGCAGCTCCAGCACATCCCTCGACTTGCTCCACCCTGCCTTCTAGCCCCTGCTGGGCCTGCCTGGCCTCCCAGACTGCTGCCTTGGCTCGGCGGGCCGGGGTACCACTTGGTCCCGCCAATGTGTAAGTTTCCGGCTGGCCCCGCCCCCTCCCGCGCATTGGCCCCGCCCCAATGCCGGGCCCGCTTGGCTGAGCGCTGATTGGACAGTGCCTGGCGTAGCCTGTCTCAGCAGCTCCGGCTCTCTTCTGCTCTCTCCAGACTCCACGGCCAGTAGTTTGCGGCATCGGCAGGAGCAGCAGCAGCAGCAGTAGCGGCGGCGGCGGCAGGTTCAGAGGGGAGACGGACAAGCGGGCACAGACGGCAGCACGGCTCCCGCGCACCATCCCTTGCTTTCCTGGCGGTCACTGGCACCTGCGTCCCTAGCCCGGCGCGGGCCCTTGGCGCGTTGCGCTCCGTGGCATTCCAGCTGAGCGGATTCATCGGAGATCCGAAACCTCCCACCCCTGCTCTCTCACACTCCCCACTCACACTCCTCGCACCATACACTCACTCTTCCTTTCTCTCACACATTCACCCACAGCCAAAGACAGAAAGAGAAAGCGTGATAGACCTCCCATGTCCGCGAGCGCCTGGGAGGGTGTGAGCCCAACGCAGCTCGGCCAGCGCCTCTCCAGGAGGATGGAATCAAGAAGCTCCCGCAAGTAAACTTTGGCGGCGACATAACCGTCGACCGTGGCAGCTGCTGAGGCGGACCCCAGCGACATGCGATTGAGCTAGGAGGCCTTCCTCCCCTGGCAGCGGCGGCCCTCGGAGCGACACCCCAGTCCAGACCGAGGGAGGAGGAGAAGCCCCTGGAACCAGCGGCGGCGGCCCCGCCTCTCCTGGCCGGTACTGTTGTTGCTTTCCCTACCTTCCTCCCCATTCCCCCACCCCGCCCCCCCCCCCCCCGGCCATTGGAAAGACCGGACTTTTATTTTCTTGGACAAATTTCCATCGGCCCGTTTTCACAAACTTGACGTGGAGGCTCGGGCTGCATTGGTAACTTTAATTTCCGAGACGCAGAAGTCCGCAGTCCAGCTGCTCAGTGGGGGTGACTCCGTGTCCACCTCCGATCCTGGACACACGCGCCCCTCAAGCCTTCTGAAGCCAACCACAGTGCAAGGGAGCAAGCTCTGGTCTTGGCAGCCTCTATCCCCTCCCCCGTCTTCTGCGGGCTGGAGGACTGCCATCCCGCTCAGCCGGATACTCTGAAGGCTGCGGCGCTTGACAGCAATTCAAACTCCCTCCTGCACCCCCCCTTTCTCCCCAACAGGCCTCGAAAAGGCCAGCGTGGCCCCCCAGGATCCCAGAGGGCGCGTTCCAGGCGGATCCTGTCTCTGCAGTGAGCCAGGAGCACTGGGGGTTGATCCTTGCGCATGCCAGGTGCACAGACAGCGTGCTCACCAGCCCCAGTGCCGGTGCGCCGCGGCGGGTCGGGCACTACCTGAGAGGCTGTACCCGCACTGCACTCCCCGCCTTCGCCTCCAGTGCGGTCCGGATTCAGCAGCGCGTCGATCCGGCTTCTCATACGCGGTTCCACCCGCAACCCTGCACCGCTTCGGCCAGTCGCGCCGGGCTAACTTTGAAGGGGGAAAACTGAATAGCCGGGCTGGAGGGAGGGGGCTCGGGGCCGCACGGCGCTCCTTCGGCCCCTCGGAGCCCCCGGGCCCCGCGAGAGCCCCCGCCGGGCCCGCCACAACTTCAGCATTGGAGCCTGCGCGGGTTTCCCCCCCGCGCCGCCGGGCCGCCCTGGGCGGGACTCCTCCCGCGGCCTCTGGGGCCCCGGGGTGCGCGCAACAGGCGGCCCGAGTCGGCGGGAAGCTGGAGCGCCGGCGGCGTCGGTCTCGGAGGGGTGTGGAGAGGCGAGGCCAGGCAGAGCCCCGCGCAGCCATGGAGTCACTCCTGCTGCCGGTGCTACTGCTGTTGGCTGTGCTATGGACACAGGCGGCCGCCCTCATTAACCTCAAGTACTCGGTAGAAGAGGAGCAGCGCGCCGGGACGGTGATCGCCAATGTGGCCAAGGACGCGCGCGAGGCGGGCTTCGCACTGGACCCACGGCAGGCCTCTGCCTTCCGTGTGGTGTCCAACTCGGCTCCGCACCTGGTGGACATCAACCCCAGCTCGGGCTTGTTGGTCACCAAGCAGAAGATCGACCGTGACCTGCTGTGCCGCCAGAGCCCCAAGTGCATCATCTCACTCGAGGTCATGTCCAGCTCAATGGAGATTTGCGTGATTAAGGTGGAGATCAAGGACCTTAATGACAACGCTCCCAGCTTCCCGGCGGCACAGATTGAGTTGGAGATCTCGGAGGCGGCCAGCCCCGGCACGCGCATCCCGCTGGACAGCGCTTATGATCCGGACTCGGGCAGTTTCGGCGTGCAGACCTATGAGCTGACTCCGAATGAGCTATTTGGCCTGGAGATCAAGACTCGCGGTGACGGCTCACGCTTCGCTGAACTCGTGGTGGAGAAGAGTCTGGATCGCGAGACGCAGTCGCACTACAGCTTTCGCATCACTGCGCTCGACGGCGGCGACCCGCCGCACCTGGGCACTGTTGGCCTCAGCATCAAAGTGACCGACTCCAATGACAACAACCCGGTGTTTGGCGAGTCCACCTATTCAGTGAGCGTGCCAGAGAACTCACCTCCCAACACTCCCGTCATCCGTCTCAACGCTACCGACCCAGACGAAGGCACCAATGGCCAGGTGGTCTACTCATTTTACGGCTACGTCAATGACCGCACTAGAGAGCTCTTCCAGATCGACCCGCACAGCGGCCTGGTCACCGTCACCGGTGCCCTAGACTATGAAGAGGGCCACGTTTATGAACTGGACGTGCAGGCCAAGGATCTGGGGCCCAACTCCATCCCGGCACACTGCAAGGTCACCGTCAGCGTTCTGGACACCAACGACAACCCGCCGGTCATCAACCTGCTGTCGGTTAACAGCGAGCTGGTGGAGGTGAGCGAGAGCGCCCCCCCGGGCTACGTGATTGCACTAGTGCGGGTGTCTGATCGAGACTCTGGCCTCAATGGGCGCGTGCAGTGCCGTTTGCTGGGCAACGTGCCCTTTCGGCTGCAGGAGTACGAGAGCTTCTCCACTATCCTGGTGGACGGACGCCTGGACCGCGAGCAGCATGACCAGTACAACCTTACCATCCAGGCGCGCGACGGCGGCGTGCCCATGCTGCAGAGTGCCAAGTCCTTTACCGTGCGCATCACAGACGAGAACGACAACCACCCGCACTTCTCCAAGCCCTACTACCAGGTCATTGTGCAGGAAAACAACACACCCGGTGCCTATCTGCTCTCGGTGTCGGCCCGAGACCCCGACCTGGGTCTCAATGGCAGTGTTTCCTATCAGATCGTGCCGTCACAGGTGCGAGACATGCCTGTCTTCACCTATGTCTCCATCAACCCCAACTCAGGTGATATCTATGCGCTGCGATCCTTCAACCATGAGCAGACCAAGGCATTTGAATTCAAGGTGCTGGCCAAGGACGGCGGCCTGCCCTCGCTGCAGAGCAATGCCACTGTTCGGGTTATCATCCTCGACGTCAATGACAATACCCCAGTCATCACCGCCCCACCGCTCATCAACGGCACTGCGGAAGTCTACATCCCCCGCAACTCGGGCATAGGCTACCTGGTGACAGTTGTCAAAGCAGATGACTACGACGAGGGCGAGAACGGCCGGGTCACCTATGACATGACAGAGGGCGACCGCGGTTTCTTTGAAATAGACCAGATCAATGGCGAGGTCAGAACCACTCGCACCTTCAGCGAGAGCTCCAAGGCTTCCTACGAGCTTATTGTGGTGGCCCACGACCACGGCAAGACGTCTCTTTCTGCCTCTGCGCTCGTCCTAATCTACCTGTCCCCTGCTCTCGACGCCCAAGAATCAATGGGCTCGGTGAACTTGTCCCTGATTTTCATTATCGCCCTGGGCTCCATTGCTGGAATCCTCTTTGTCACTATGATCTTCGTGGCGATCAAGTGCAAGAGAGACAACAAAGAGATCCGGACCTACAACTGCAGGTAGAGCCAACTTTTTCTTTCTTTCCCTCTTTGTCTTGGGTGAATACGGTGTATCTGTGTCTCTGTGTGAAAATCCCAATGCTTTTGTTTCCTATTTAAATGCATGCATCCTACTTACAGCAGCTTCTTTTGGGAGGTAGGGGGAGTTTGTGTTAGCCAGAGTTGATCAATTCTTTTGATCTGACAATTTGCTGGAAGACAACCATTTACTGTTTGAATGGATTCTGTCACATAATGATGATGAGCAGAAAAGCAATTATCATTTTAAAATTTGCACAGCTGTCTCCATGAAGTTATGGCAGGAAAAAATTTAAGGAGAAAGAGAGATTTTGAGAGAGAGAGACTTGAGAGAAAGAGAGGTTGATTTTTGGCAAAACCTTGAAGTACCACAACTTGATTTGGGGGCTGTAGAGTTTTGGAGACAAGTACTGAAAGGAAAGGGAGTGCTGGCAGCTGCCTTGTCCTGTGTAGAGAGAAACTCTGAAGAGAGCCTGTGAGTGGTTTCTTAGAAAACCTTAGAGTGGGGGGAAGAGAGAACAGGAGTATGTGGGGAAGCAGGTGATTAGAGTTTTTGGTTTTTTTTTTTTTTTTTTTTAGTGTGTTCTTGGCTTGTTTTGTATCCAGTCCTCAAACATCTTGCTATGTGAAGTGAAATTCTACTAGTCATCTGTATGGTTTCAAATATCTGGTTGTTGGGTAGATACCAAACATCCTAATGAGGGACAGGACTTTTGCATCCAGATGTTTCACTAAAAATAGCAATCTTCTGGAGTTGATGGTTCTTTCCGCTAATATGGAACTCTGTTGTGGTACTAAGAGCTGGTCCCTACCAGTGGATGTCACTATGGGCTATTTTGTTAGTTTCCCTTGCAATGTGTGCAGGGTATGTGTGTGGTATGAGTGAGAGAGAGAGTGGTGGGGGAAGGAGGATGAGGGGAGGGGAAGGTGGAGAGAGAGAAGGAGAAGAAATTTGGAAACCGGAATAACACATAGTAATTAAAAAAAAAATTTCCTGATCAGCACTTTGGAGGGTCTTGCTGACCCTCCTTACAATATCCAATTTAGGATAGTACATGGAATTTTTTTTCCAGCAGTGTCTCATCGAAACAGTTGAAAAAAAGTTGTTTCTTTAGTTTGCTGATAATGAATGATGCTGCTATTTCCAATGAAGGTGTGTGTGTGTGTGCTTTCAACACACCTACACATCCAGTATGCCTTTGTGCCATCTGTGCTTGCATGTTAATCAGTCAAAATATGTTCCTGTAGGTCTGATTTGTATTTGACACCAACTGAAATTCACACTTCTGTGAATCAGAGCCCCCTGAATATGTAACAGTCATGCAATTATTGTTTCCCTTTTACTATTCTCTGCGTTACACAAGTTAGTAGACAAATGCTAACCACACATGAATATCAATCAGGTACCATAAAAGAGCAGCTGCAATGCCTCATAAATGCTTTAATCCTGTTACTAGTGAAATAGCCATGACTTTTCTTTCCTTCAGCTCTGAGTCATTTCAGATGAGAGAAATGGAAATTAATATTGCTCTTACCTTTGCAACCTGTGACTGCCAGTGGCAATTTTTATAGGAGAAAAATGTGTGGGTCTATAAAATTTTATTTATATGGAGATAATGATAGAGGGGACTCTTTTAAAGCCATTTCCTCAGCATAAAGTAAACGCATAAGACCCTTACTTGATGAAAAAGAAATCAGCTTGAAATAAAGATATTAAAGGCTATGCCACCTCTTGGTGATGTATGACTTGAAGTGAGAGCTCTTTCTGAGAGCTTGCCAGGGAGATCATTAAACAGGGAGGAGAGCGTTTGAATTGGTGGGGGGGGTGGGGAAGCAAATCTCAGTGCTCTCCAACTTCACTCATATGTGTATTTTATAAAGAGCTCTGTTTCCTGCTCTGGTTTGGGATTAATGAAGTAGTTTAATTAAATAATTGATCAATACAGAAAAGGGGTCGCAATGAATGCTTCAGCTGAATAATTGGACCGGGCATTGCCAAACTTACCCATCGTGGGTAAATGAAATGATTAGAACTATCCATTGATTTTAAACAGATTAGAAAAGAAAATCAACCCCAGTCCTGGGTTTTGGGGATTCTATCTGCTCCCAAGCCTGGGTAGCATCAGCTTGCCCTCACTGCAAGTATGCCTGAGCACAGAGTGTAAGGGTGAGGGTGACACAACTGCCCAGGTGTAGGAAGATCCTGGGGACAGAGCAAGAATGGGCCTCTGGAGATATGCAATCTTCCCATCTGCTCAGACTTTTTCGAAACATAAAGTTCAAGAGCTTCTCTTTCTAGGTATTAAGCAGAGGTTTCTTGTTCTCAGCCTCTGCAGAACCTCTTCCTGAAATGAATTCATTTATGAGACTTGCAAGATGATCTGCACTTGCTGCTTGAATTGGGCTCCCTTTTTGTACTCAGACAGTTAGCTTTGTCGAGAGAGAATACAAGCACAGTCTTCTCCCTTGTAAAGATAAACCTGTATTATTTATTAACCCAATTGTTTTGCTGATTATTGCTCAGAAATGGAATTTACAGACAATAAGCTGAATCATCATATGCAAAGTAATAAATGACTTTGAGAATCTGGCTACATTTAAATGTATTTTTTTGGACAACTCTCTTAATGCTTGGTGTCTTTGGTGCACATTGCTGAGTCTCTGTCAGTGTTAATTAAATTGAGCTCTTTATGTTCCAGTTGCAGCACAGCTGCTTATAGGTACACCTGAATCGAGAAGGATGCTGAATGCACTAACCTTTAAATTCCTTTGCAGTAATTGTTTAACCATCACTTGTCTCCTCGGCTGTTTTATAAAAGGACAAAACAGCAAGTGTCTGCATTGCATCTCGGTTTCTCCCATTAGCGAGAAGCAAGACAAAAAGGCTGAGGAGAAAGTGAGCCTAAGGGGAAAGAGGTAAAAAGGCTTTTCCCCCTCATTCAAATGGGTTTGGCTCTCAGATTTCTCGAGGAGATGCAGGGGGTGGGGCGGGGAGTTGAAGGGAGCAGGGCTAGGGCAGGGGGAAGGAGGGCAGGGGAAAGGAGCTGAGGATTTGTCAAAGGAAAGTGTCTGACGTGCTCCAGTCGAAAACTGATCAGGTCAGTTATCAAGGAACCTGACTTGAGGTTGTTTGTCACATGGCAGTTGCCTGGAGGACTGGAAAGGGGATTAGGTTTTATTTCCTTCCTGTCATCTTCTGATAAATTAGGATTTGCTGCTAATTTCACTCAGGAGTTCCTTTGGGTTCCAGGAAAGCTCCAGACTTGAGCATTTTCATGCTTTCTCTCCCATAGGCTCAACTTCCTCTGTCCCCACACCCTTTTTAAATGGCCACTCACAAGGAGAAATTCCAAATCCAAAGTATAGAAACTTTTGAGGAGGAAGGGGTAGCGAGAGGTTACTATGCTTAAATAAAAACTTTATGGCCCTCAGCTTGTTTTCGCATGTAAAAAGCACAGGGAGAAACCCGATGATGCGATGCGCCAGAAAAAGAAGGTGGAGCAGAGATGGGGTGCAATCCTCTGGGGTACTTGATGTTTATTAACTGATGCATGGTTTGGGAGGGCGTTAGCGATACATGCTGCCTTTTCTATCACATAGAATCGCTGAGTACTCCTATGGTCATCAAAAGAAATCAAGCAAGAAGAAAAAAATCAGTAAGAATGACATCCGCCTGGTACCCCGGGATGTGGAGGAGACAGACAAGATGAATGTTGTCAGTTGCTCCTCCCTGACCTCCTCCCTCAACTATTTCGACTACCACCAGCAGACCCTTCCTCTGGGCTGCCGCCGCTCTGAGAGCACTTTCCTGAACGTGGAGAACCAGAATACCCGCAATACCAGCGCCAACCACATCTACCATCACTCTTTCAACAGCCAGGGCCCCCAGCAACCAGACCTGATCATCAATGGCATGCCTCTGCCTGAGGTGAGTGTAGCTAAGCGGCTCTGTGAGGTCCTCCCAGGCCTCTATCCCCTGCTGCTCGCCCGATTCCATTATCCTCTATGGTGACACATTCCCTGGCAGGGGTGGGGAGAACTTCTCTGCCTATGCCCATATCTGAAGTCAAGGTTTGCTACCTGTGCTTCTCAGGGCAAAGAGTAACCCAATATATATTATTATTATTATTAATTTATTTATTTTAATTGGAGGCTAATTACTTTACAATACTGTCTTTTTTTTTTTGCCATGTATATGTGTTCCCCATCCTGAAGCCCTCTCCCCCCTCCCTCCCCATCCCATCCCTCAGGGTCATCCCAGTGCACCAGCCCTGAGCACCTTGTCTCATTCATCGAACCTGGACTGGTGATCTATTTCACATATGATAATATACACGTTTCAGTGCTATTCTCTCAAATCATCCCACCCTCGCCTTCTCCCACAGAGTCCAAAAGTCTGTTCTTTACATCTGTGTCTCTTTTGCTGTCTTGCATATAGGGTCATTGTTACCATCTTTCTAAATTCCATATATATGCATTAATATACTGTATTGGTGTTTTTCTTTCTGACTTACTTCACTCTGTATAATAGGCTCCAGTTTCATCCACCTCATTAGAACTGATTTAAATGTATTCTTTTTAATGTCTGAGTAAGATTCCATTGTTTATATGTACCACAGCTTTCTTATCCATTTGTCTGCTGATGGACATCCAGGTTGTTTCCATGTTCTGGGTATTGTAAACAGTGCTGTGATGAACATTGGGGTATACGTGTCTCTTTCAATTCTCCCTTCCTCGGTGTGTATGCCCAGTAGTGGGATTGCTGGGTCATATGGCAGTTCTATTTCCAGTTTTTTAAGGAATCTCCACACTGTTCTCCATAGTGGCTGTACTAGTTTGCATTCCCACCAACACTGTAAGAGGGTTCCCTTTTCTCCACACCCTCTCCAGCATTTATTGTTTGTAGACTTTTTGATAGCAGCCATTCTGACCTGTGTGAGGTGGTACCTCATTGTGGTTTTGATTTGCATTTCTCTGATAATGAGTGATGTTGAGCATCTTTTCATGTGTTTGTTAGCCATCTGTATGTCTTCTTTGGAGAAATGTCTGTTTAGTTCTTTGGCCCATTTTTTGATTGGGCCTTTGTAGGGATGGATGTTGGGAGTGGGAGCTTAAGGTCTGAGCCTTTGGAATACCTGTGTGGCCGTCTAGCAAGATATGAATTACACCTGTTGCAAATACAGCATGCTTGCCAGCCTGTGGTACCCAAATGTCAGTTAAAGTAGCTGAGTAATAATCAGCAAGTAGTCTTAAAGGTAGATGAACCCTAGAATGCTTGAGGGTCAGTTTCCCACTGTGAGAGTGATTCAGCCTCCTAAATCCCCCTTTTGCTTTTTGTTTGGTCATATACATCCTTAGCTGTGGATATGGATGAGCTGGTTAAAGGGAGGCAAACCAAAAGAAAGTAAAAAAGCCACTTTGCTATTGCTTAATAGTTCTTATGGTGACATTTGACAAATGAGGATGTTGAAATTTTCACTAATAATTAAAATTTCAAGAATTAACTAAGCATTTGTGTTAGCTCTGTTTCTCTTTACCAGGAATGAATGTTTTCAAATGGAAGTATTTTTTTTTACACAGTATGTGGTCTGATATTTGCTGGCTCTTGAAATATTTCAGGGTAGTTGGGTAGTAATGTGGATGACGGTGAGTTGGTGCCTGGGTGGAAGGCTATAAATAACAGTTTTTAAGTTAATTTCATTTTTCCTTGAATTGCTTAAGTCCCTCTTTGGTTGGAAACTTGATGCACTTGGAGGCATATGCCCTCTTCCAGTTCACGAATAAAAGGAATACTATATACTCGGAGAGCACTTCACAACCATTGTCTTCTGTGATTCTTACAATCCGGTATTTTGATTGTCCTTCAGTAGATGATGAAATGGAGCTCCAGAGATGATAAGGGACTTATTCAGACTCACAGAGCAGAGATATTGAGAGAGAGAGAGACACAACCAGATTTCAGAACTCTATAACTCTGGTGAGTGCAATGCTATTTCAGTGACACCGTCCATACTTTCCTGCCTCAGAAATAATTTAGCCTGACATACCTGGGCTGGGATGCATATAAAATGGCCTCACAGTATTTATATCAATTTCATAGGGCAAAGGGATTTAGGACCACTTTCATCTACTGTTCTTCCTAATTCCTGAAAAATATTTCTTATCAATAATGAGGCCAAAAAGCAGTGCTTTTAATGAAAAACTGATCTTCTAGCAATAGAAACTCCAATATTGTCAGTCCATACCTCTGTAAATAAGGATTTACTGAAAATCCAGTATTATGCTAAGTAGGCTCGGTTATAATTATGAATGTCAGTGAATACTTACTGGAGACTAGACCATAGAGTTTGTAGAAAACTACCTGTGGACCACCAAGAGTTCAGCAATAGAGAGGGAGAGGTAGTGCTATGTGGAATCAGATAGACCATGATTTTTAATCTGAGAGACATGTCATGCTATGGAATACCTCTGAGTATCTGTTTCCTCATCTACAAAATGGATACATCTGTCATGCAAGGTTGATCCTAGGAATAATATGACATTATATAATGTAAGGGGTCTGAGACAGAGGTGCCCCCTGAATCATAGATCTGTTCACCAGATGATAATTGAAGAGTGACTACTGTAATGGCTTATATACCTGAGTGTGACTCCAAAGACACTTACAACCAAAGAGGAATTTAGGCTGGTGTCTGTGTAAAGAAGGCCTACAATGTGGTGTGGTTAGAGTATTCACATTGGACTTTTAAACAATGGAGGTGAAAGATGCCAAGATTATGGGTTCAGGTGCTGACTGATGTTGCTTGTGGAGATGGACAGAAGAATTGAATCCTGAGGGCTTTGTGATTATGCAGTCAATTCAAGGTACTAGAGAAGTGTAAGCCTGTGTAACGTAAGCCTAGGATGCTTTGAGGCGGCAGGAGATATTTGACTATGTCTGAATGGTTGACCTAAGATCTTGGTGTTCTTTCTGAGATTCTTCTATGGGTAAAATGAAACCAAATATTGCTTCAGCTGTTTAGAAAAGCCATTGAAAATTTGAATTCTAATCCCATCTCTTACTCACAAAACCAGATGTTTTCTTAGTTAACAAAATCATACAGATCTAGTATCTAGGGCTAGTCAGGGCCAACACAGCATATATTAGGCACAGTGAGGTTAAGTGTGTGTTTCTAATATGTAGTCCTGGAGAGTTCATTTGACAAACCCATTCAGAAAGGGGAGAGACCCACTCACAGCATAGCATGAATCAGGCCATTTAACCTTTGTCTATTACAAAGTCCTACATGGGGAAATTGCCACTTCTTCTTTTCTCCCCATATCAGAGACTGTTGAACATGGACTCAGTAGAGTACTTAGGTACAATGAAATCTATAGACGACAAGGATGACTGACTCATACAGTCAACTAATATTTGTTGTCTAGTCTTTGTAAGGTTCTGCTATAGGCATCCACTGTTAGGGAAATGAAAAAGATGTTCTCTGATCTCAAAGAGTGCACACTGTAATGGAAAAGATGAGAAAATAGGTGACTTGTGGTATGGAGTGATAAATGCTACTATCAGATACAATAAGATATTAGTAGGACAATAATATCCTAATGTATTTCCTACATTGTATTTTCCTAGTTAATTAATTATTAATTAATCCACCCAAGAAAGCAACAGTTATTAAGTTATTACAGAGTGATGAGTGCTATGATGTGGTATTTAAAAGATTCATTAGAAATTTATGTATTAAATCTTATTATGTCATATCCATTTTTCTGTATATTATTTCATTAAATCATTTTTATTTGTTCATTAACAACCCAGAAGCATTTATTGCACACTTAGAACATGTCAGACCCTGTACCGCTTGCCAAGGATACAAAAATAAAAACACTCGATCCTTGACCCCAGGGAGTTTACAGGGAGACAGGCAAGTAAACAGTTCGTTTCAATTCAGGAGAACATCTCTTTCCTGAGCATATGTTATATTCTTACTTGCCAGACTGGAACCAAAGGTCACTACCCATTAGGTTCCTCTGCTGAGCAACTTTGTAAACTCACTCACTTCATTAGCCTCAGAGTCAGTTACAAACCTTACTGGCAATGGCATTATAGAGGAGTGAGAACAGCTTTTCTCACAGCTCTCCATCATACTTTGAAGTTTATCATCATGGAATAGACCAAATCAGTAAGCATAGTTTGAGTGTTCACCGTGTGCTCAGCTGTGTGGTAGGTATGCTGCTGCTGCTGCTGCTAAGTCGTGTCAGTTGTGTCCAACTCTGTGCGACCCCATAGACGGCAGCCCACCAGGCTCCCCCATCCCTGGGATTCTCAAGGCAAAAACACTGGAGTGGGTTGCCATTTCCTTCTCCAGTGCATGAAAGTGAAAAGTGAAAGTAAAGTCACTCAGTCATGTTGGACTCTTAGTGACCCCATGGACTGCAGCCTACCAGGCTCCTCAGTCCATGGGTTTTCCCAGGCAAGAGTACTGGAGTGGGGTGCCATTGCCTTCTCTGGTGTGGTAAGTATAGGGATCCTAAATAAATATAAGATGTAGCATCTGCCCTCAGAGGTCATAGTCTAATTGGGGAGCTATTTAAGATCACCTACATGAGTTCCTTATAAGCAGAAGAAAAGGTACTCTCCTGCTCCTCCTCCTCCCCTGGCAGCCCTGCCATCATTTAGATTTAGATTTACTGTTGAGTTCTTAAGGTTTGGTGCTGATGTGAGGGTAACTTTGGCATCAATGTGCAGACCTAGCCACATCTGAACATTGTTGACTCTAGAAACTGAAGGGAATGTGACTTTAAATGAAGTTAGGTAGGTAAAAGCAAAGGGAATGGAGCATCAAAACATTCAATATTAAAAAGTCAAATTTAAAAAATGCCTCACAAAAAAGAATGGATGTTTGACTGTTTCACCCCTCCAGAAGGCAGGTA